TGTTCAATGGAGTTCAACAGAGTCTGTTGTGAGATAGTAAACTACTGATAACAATGGTGGATGTGTCACTCAATTTTGTGGATTAGTTGAAATTAGACATTAACACAATTGGATGCTGTTTAGCTCAGTGGTCTAGTGGTTAAGCGTTCGCACGTAAAACTGATATGTCCTGGGTTCGAATCTCGCAAGGCAAGTTGTGAATGCACAGCGTCGAGGAGTTCCACAGTAGGATGAAATGGCCATCTAGTGTTTCCAGGTTTTCCATGATGGTCTAGTTTCAATTGACTCATGATCTCAACCATTAAGATTACCATACAATTTCGTTACTTTAAGTCTAATTCTCAACAATGATTAGCTTATTACTTTTTTTACTTTTATGTATTATTTCGTGGTGTATTAACATAAATCATTCATGCATAATACAGAATTAAATGGTCTTATTGTAGTTAACCAACAGTTAAATTGAAAAAAGAACAATTTGTCATCAAAGACTATTTAGACATTCTTTGAAATATTCAATTCATATTATAACCTGAATGTTATGTCAGTGAGACTATAATTTATGGATGACGTTTGAGCGACACTAAACTGACCTTGAGAGTATTCACTTAATAACTAAGACGAAACGAGGGTTTGAAATCAGTTTGAGGAATTAGAATTATGATTTACAGTTGATGGTTAAGGTTAGGAATTAGGTTGACGGTTTTTCATCACAAACTGACATTACTTATAATGCCGAACCTTTATTTAGCCAAATAGATGAGTGAATTTCGCACCAAAATCCGAGACCTGTTATTTTTTTATCTGATTGGTTTGTCCATAAATTATAGTCTCGCCGTTATGTCATTTGTAATTATAGCATTGTTTACGAATTTTATATAACCTATAATTGTCAGTTAAAAAGCTTTTGACTTAAGGCTATATCGAGGCGATCCGCACAGGATGCACATATGCCAACATGAGATCGATAAATTGCAGTCCTAAATAACAAGGGGAAGATACAAGTAAACAACACCAAGTAAATGTAAACTTCGCCTCACTGCACAACCAGGTGTCTATCAGGACTCATTAGCTAAATGGATAACGCGATAGCGTATGAAGTGAACGGTACTGCGTCCGAGTCCCTGAGTAAACATCAACTCTGAGATACAGATACATCCAACTGACAAGTCCCAAATAGAACGAAACGTGCTTCCTGGATCCATATCTAGCCACTATCCATCTTTACTTAAAAATCTTGTCAGTTAAATAGTTTATAGTATATGAAATTCTATATTCATTTCATAATGGATTGAATAGGAACACCATTTTTTTACATCAATACTAATACCAAGCAATATAGAAATGAATAGAATTATTAAAAGTTTATTTTCGACAGTGATATGATAGTTGTCTTAGTAACCATTATAATGGATAACCGTTATTAATATTTGACATTATTATTATTATTATTATTATCGTTCTTATCATTATTAACGTAATCTACTATAACGGAAGTTAAAATACATATGGAATATGTAGCAAAACTCCCATTTATATAGATTTTATTTATAATAGAACAGACTACTTAGTACGTCACTAATAGGTAAATTAAAATAAGATAAAAAGGAAACAATGCTACATACGAAAGAAACTTATTACCGCAATTAAGTTTTAAAGTATAAGATGACTTTCAATTCAAAGTCTAAATGAAGGAAATGCTTTAGGTTGTGCTTTTTTATTCCCGAATAAATTTGTATATTCACTTGGTGTTGTTTTACTTGTATCTTTCCATTGTTATTTAGGATTGTAATTGATCAGTCTCATGTTAGCATATGTGGATCCTGTGCGGATCGCATCGATATAACCTTAAACCGCAAGCTTTATATATATTTGTCAAAAGATTTTTGATTTGACTGTTGGCAGTTTTAATTACAAAGTATCTACATTGTGGGAGTACTGAGTGTGCAATACTGTTATTAGGCAATGAGTACGAATCATAAAGGACACGTCAGTTGATAAGACTATAAATTTGGGATGTATGATATCCAAATCCAACTAGTGTCTACCTCGATATTCAATGTTGAGTGTTATAGAGGTAAACTCAACTTATGATGCTTAGGAATGACTAGTCCTTAAAGCTATATTTTACTGTTACTCACGGGTAACTTTTGAGAACTATTAATGGGATAATATTATTGTTATAACTGTGAGAGAGGGACGATTTGAGGAGAGAGAATTATTGATCGGACCAAAGACGCGTAAAACACGTAAGAACAGCCTAGAGTTCTGATTGGCCCTGCTTCCCTGTCTAGCCCAGCCAGTTGAGCCCAGAACACAAGTCTCAGCCTCTGTGATATGAATCATTATATTTCAGACATACTCTGTTTATATAGCAATCAAACAGACCACAACGTACCATAAAATAGAAAATAACATTTGTACATGATTTAACCTTCAGGAAATGACACAAATAAATATTGACCAATAGGGAAATGGCACGTTGGAAGAATGCTGACCAATGGGGAAATGACACGTTGGAAGAATTATTGACCAATGGGGAAATGACACTATTTCTCATTCAGGGATGGCATTAGATAATTTCTGGGGTATTTTCTGAATACCCCAACACCTCCCTTTTTTTGAAGATCCTATTGTACAACTTTTCAGTAACTAGGTTATGTGCATCTATATTTCCCTTATTATGAGCTTCATTTTGACCTATAGAATATTATTATACGATTCACTATTCTTAAGTTATGTCCAGTTTATTGGTTACAGTCTCCTACGTTCACAGCCACTTTTGGATTTGATCTTTCATAAATGTTATTTCCTATTTTATGATATGATGCGGTCTGTTTGCCTTGTATATAAATCAGGTATGTTTGTAATAAATGATTTGCATAGTGGGGACCACTATTGAAATTCTGAACTCAACTGCACAAGTTGGGTGAACAAAGTACCAATAAGGACGCTAGGCTGCTTGCTCATACCAATCGAATGTCATTGGTTTAGCACAGTACAAAATCGAATAAATTGTATTTCGATTGGCGAATAAATCACTTGATAATCTAACCGGTCACAAAAGTCACAACAACATGTCGTACTAAAAATAACTCTTACAGTCCATTAATACAACATCGATTACTAAAATGAAGATTGATCATAAAAAAAAACATCATTATAATTAAATGTCTATAATGATTATTTCTGTAGTTTATTAATCTTTCTAAGCTTATGATTGTGTTTTTGTATTTTTTTTTTTTTTGATGCAGGACACTCCTACTAATATCATATTCAATCGAGTAAAGATCACTAACCATCCAGTGAACTTATCTAGTCTAAAAATTACGCACACTAACAAATGATTTCTCATCATTATTATTTTTTTTTTAATGGACCTGCATACAGATTATCAGATAAATGGATACAATTATATCAGGAGCCAATAGTTTAGTAACCATGTAAAAGAACGATATTTATTCAGTAGTATAAAAAAAGGTATTCTTATTATTCAATATGTCAGTAATGACATGATATGGTTAAGAGTTTGTTTGAAATACAGAAAATAGAATCCATATTAAAATCAATAGAGATTCTGTACTATTCTGATTTCGTTGTTTGACAATAAAAGTTAATCATCAATTATTCACTTACTTACTTACTTACACCAATTAATCCCAATGGAGTATAGGCCGCCAACTAGTATTCTCAAAACGACTCTGTCTTCTATCTTCCTTTCTAGTTCTATCCAATTTTCGTTCATTCTTTTCATGTCTGTCTCCATTTCTCGGTGTAATGTGTCCTTTGATTTTCCTCTTCTCTTTTGGCCTTGAGGATTCCATGAGAGGGCTTGCCTTGTGATGCAGTTTGGTGTTTTCCTCAATGTGTGTCCTATCCACTTCCAGCACTTCTTCCTGATTTCCTCCTCGACTGGGATCTGAGTTGTTCTGTCCCAAAGTCGTGCTTAAGGCTGATAGTGCCTGGCCAACAGATTTAAAGTATTTTGCGTAGACAGCTAATAATAAACACTTTTCATCTTCTGGATGATAGCTTTCGTAATTCTCTAGGTTTCCGCCCCATACAGTAGAACTGTTTTGTCATTTGTATTAAAAATTCTGACTTTGGTGTTGGTTGACAGACAGTTGTTTTGAGTTCTAGACTTTCTTCAATTATAGATATACTGTTCTTTCTTTGCCAATCCGTGCCTTTGCATCTGCATTAGATCCACCGTGTCCCTCAGTGATGATGCCCAGATATGTATAGGTTTTTACATCTTTTAAATCTTCTCCATCAAGTGTGGTCTGATTGGTACATGTTCTGTTGTATCGAAGGATTTTTCCTATACTGAACTCTTTGATGAAATTATTATATAACTGTTACGTAAAATACTAACTGTCTTCATTTTGATCCTGATTCGTTTTTAATTTATGAGTATTTTAATGATCTTCATGAGCAAGTAATGACTATAATGATAAATGTTGACGAACAAAGTTGAACAATTCATGTTTGGTCTCTGAGTTTTAATGATTATCTAACGAAGTTCAATTCGTCATGTAAAACTATAGAGTTCAATCATCTCTATATAACACTACATACTAGAAAATGAACAAGAATAATTTGGATGGATACTTTCAAAAACTTGTTGAGTATCATCGACAAAGATAATCAATAATATGAAAATAGCTCATTACAGGTATATATCACTGTATTGGTTACAATAACCAGTATAGTTTTAGGACTAAATGCATTAATAATGTATTCTATATTTTACATAAATTCATGTTCATATCAATATTTTGTTGCATAGTGATACATATAAAAACAACCAGTTTAAAAATCTGCTGAAAACTGGCATAGTAACTAATTAACAGCTTAGTTGACAGGATCCACATAGCATTTAAAACCAGATAAATAGGATATACGTTGTCAATGTAGAATATAAAGCTAATTAACACAAACGATATTAAATATATAAGGTGTAAGTAAGTAGGATGTGATAACTACCCTTATTTACTTACCTGTAAATGTACTGACACTATTAGCGAATCCCATAACCAAACCTGAGAAATTAGGAGCTAAATCAATCACATTTACAGCATAGCCTGCTACTGCCAATCCAGAGAAACCTGATTCGAAAATAAGTACGGAGAAAATAAAATTACTAAATTAAGATGATCATACTGATTATTATTATTAATATATGATTTAAAAAAAAAATCGGAGTAAGACAAGGCTGTCTACTCTCTCCCTTCCTGTTTCTCCTGGTGGTCGACTGGATTATGAAGACCTCAACATCTGAGAGAAACTACGGCATACGATGGACAGCTCAGAACCAATTAGACGACTTGGACTTCGCAGATGACCTAGCCATCCTATCACATACACACGAACAAATGCAGATAAAGACAGCCAGCATAGCAGCAGTCTCTGCATCAGTAGGCCTCAACATACACAAAGGGAAAACCAAGGTCCTCAAACATAACACGGAGAACAGCAATCCAATCACTCTTGATGGCGAAACTCTGGAAGATGTAGAATGCTTCACATACCTGGGAAGCATCGTCGATAAACAAGGAGGTTCAGATGCAGACGTCAAGGCGAGGATTGGCAAAGCTAGAGCGGTATTCCTTCAACTGAAGAACATATGGAACTCAAAACAACTTTCAACCAATATCAAAGTCACAATCTTCAATACGAACGTCAAGGCAGTTCTACTGTACGGAGCTGAAACTTGGAGAACTACAACAACCACCATCAAGAATGTACAGGTATTTATTAATAGCTGTCTACGCATGATACTCAACATCCATTGGCCGGATACCATCAGCAACAGCCTTTTGTGGGAGAGAACCAACCAGCTTCCAGCTGAAGAGGAAATTAGGAAAAGACGATGGAAATGGATAGGACATACATTGAGGAAATCATCAAACTGCATTACGAGGCAAGTCGTAACTTGAAATCCTGAAGGGAAGCGGAAAAGAGGAAGGCCGAAGAACACATTACGACGGGAAATAGAAGCGGATATGAAAAGGATGAATAAGAACTGGAAAGAGCTTGAAAGGATTGCCCAGGACAGGGTTGGATGGAGAATGCTGGTGAGCGGCCTATGCTCCTTCACGAGGAGTAACAGGCGTAAGTAAGTAAGTATGATTAAAAATGAATTAAATGAATGATTTTTAACTAGTTAAAAGTTAATTGATGACTAATACCATCAGATACTATCTCAATGGTCTCGAGGTTCAGCGTTCTTGAGATAGACCAAAGGTCCTAGGTTTGGTTGCTGTATGAGGGATCGTGAATGCAAACTGCTGAGATGTCTCATACTAGGATGAAATGTCTGTTCATTATTTCAAGGTTTTCAATAATGGTCTAACAATGATCGATTCATGAAGTCAATCAAAACTCAACAATCTACACAACCATATATTGTTGTTCTTCACATGACAATCTATAATACAATAGTCCTATTACATTGTTAATACAGTATGATTCGAGTTTAGCAAGTCAAGCAGAAACGAATAAGTTATAATGACAACTTCTAAAACCAGAAACGGAGTCCAACAAATCAGTAAACTGTAAAAGTAAACACTGTTCATTGAAACTCTGAGATAAATCTTGGATTAATTGATTTGTAAAAACGTGTGAATGCATTTCTAGAGTCATAATCTTTTCCATTTCAGGATAATTTTCTCTATAATGGTTTTGTGGTGTGTACTACTGATGTCAACAGATATAAGTAGTATGTATCACCAATAGAAAATGTAATACCCGGCAGCAGAAGGTGAAGAAGATTAAAAAAAAACATAACAAGAACAGAGAATGATTGTTGTGGAAACCAAATAACAATTAATTTCGAGACGATTGACTGACATTTGCAAAAGGAACAATCAAGTTTGAGATAATTGATTGACATTTTACAAATGAAATATTTACTGTATGGTTCTCAGATTTTATTAAGAGATTCTGTAATTTTGTGTTTAAATACATTCAATTGTCCCCACTTAAGTGTTCTTGTTCACTACAGTCCTATCTGGTTCATATAAATCAGATTAACCTGATGTTCAGAAGTAAAATGTATGCCGTATAACTTTCGTTCCCCTTTAGATAATTTTTAATTGTCATTTATATCAGGATTTCTCAGTAGTGTTTAGTACTGGATGTAACAAATAAACACTTTTAATAAAAGTAATTTATAATGTACTTGAATTCTCATACAATACTTCCCTTCAGTTAAAAATGTACTACTACCCATTGAGAAAGTGCCTCCAAATGCCCTGGTACGTCCGAGAGTGGGGAGAGTCCGCTCTCCCTCTCCAAATGCTCTCATATGGCCACGCGTATATAGTCTCTGCCAGGAAAGTCCTAATCACTGCCTTCTTGTGGCATTACTATTGTTTACGAAGTTGAGGGGACGAAAAGCGAACGTCCAGCGCTTCAACCGGATCCCAAACCAATGGTGCACATGGGCTGGCTTCAGTATCCTGAATGAACAAATGGCGTATGAACCAATCGTTGGTCATCGGCTACGATGGGACTGCATCTCCTTACGATGCTCCACTACTTTGTGGATCAGATCTTCAGGTCGAAGGCTCTGGGTGTGGCCCCCTAGTAAAACCACTTGCTTCGGTTTGAGCACCCGGGCAGTAACACAGCCCTCACACAAATCAATTGAGATTTGTGTGGCGCATATGTGTTTGGTGCCTCCTTGTACCAATATCTATGTGTTAAACCAAATAAACATTGAGAAAGTGTTAAAATGTACATGATTAGAATTCCTTACTGCAAATGTCTATTAATGTAGTCTGTAGTGAGCATAAAAGCATATCGATGATGTTTTTTTCTACATCAACAATTTTCGGGAGATGAAATCTGGAAGTACTGTATTCTTGTTTTATCCTAGTATGAGACTCTTCAGTAGATTATATCCTCGACCTGATACTTTAAAACTAAAACCAGGATCATTAGTTTAAAGCAAAAATGCATTAGACTCTAAGCCACTGAATCGGAATCCAATAGTATTAATGCCTAACTTGAATTAATTCACAATATTGTACAACTCTCATTTATTGTCTTCATTAGATAATTATCTCATATCCAATATAGTTGAACTTCACTGGTCAAGGATTCTTAATAAAACTATATAAGTTGAAGTCAACTCTTGACTGAATACCTTCAAGATGTAATTCTTGGAGTTGTAGTAAGAAATCATGATCAATATTATGTATTACCATGAAGTTATCAACTGTATTATATTATTACCTTAAATTGGAAACTTGTTTTGCACTTGTTAATCAATAGTTCTATGTCAGTATAGATAATGAAGTTCTTTAACTATTCATACAATTAATCATCCATCTTTTTTTGATAACAATTATAATAGAGCTTTTTCCTTGAATCGGTTAATTATTGTCAAAATAAAACAATTTAATAACTTCATTTGAATCCTACCAATTATGATAGTGAAATATATTTGGATGGGAATTGTCATATTCCGGTAATTAACTGTATGATATAGATGATGTTAACTTACTAGATGACTGTAAATAGTAAATTATTCATTCATTCTTATTACAAAAATGATGATAAATATTGATATAAACATGGTAGTTTAGAAAGAATCAAATCGTATGTGACTTAATATTAAACATTGTATTATTGTTGACATTGATTGAAATGATGTTTGGAAGTAGTCAACAGGAAATCATGGATTTAGGTTTTGTATTGTTTAGGACTCGTCAGTAAGGTGTACCTGTAATCTTGAAGGAACTGATGCTTCCTGATGGATTCAATCCTGTGTCACTTAGCTTCACAGTCACCATTGAGCTATTCGGGTCGTAATTAACTTCCTGTAGGACTGAGATATACTTAAAATTGATTAATCACTTGGTAACGATCAATGTCATGTATGTCACGTCCTTTTTAGTGCAGATTGAATACTATCGACCAAGTTGCAATGTGGTCACTAGATTGGGTGACTGGATATTGCGTGAACTATGTTGACATAAGATGAAGGTGACATGAGATCGAATCCGTCAAGGAGCATCAGTGCACTCATGATTACAGGTACACCTTCCTGACGAGTGCCAAATAGCATAAAACCTAGATCCAAGGTTTCCTGTTGACTACCTCCAATTAATATCTTATCTTAACATAGTGCACGCAATGTCCAGTCACCTAATCTAGTGGCCACATTGCAACTTGGTCGATAGCGTTCGATCTGCTCTAAGAAGAACCTGACACACATGACAATGATCAACACCCAGTGATCAATCAATTGTTCGAATTTAAGGTTTAATTTTGAAAATAACCAATCAACGTTGAGGTCTATGAGACAAGCTGAAATGAAAAATGTGGAGAAAGTCGAACGCTTTATTTCTTCCTGAAGTTTGTCCTGACGACGTGGTTCAGAATAAAGATGAAAGCTCCACAACCAAACTATCCAGCTCAGAAAACAAAACGCCATCAAAATACTTTTTCTAGATAAGGAAGTTCAGTTTTCTGGAATTGATTCAGATGATTTCAGCTATGTAGAGTAGCCGTAATCTAACTCCCGTATGTAGACTCTTTGGAACTTGATATAAAAAAGAGTAAGCCTAATCTATCTTAATGTGATGTCCACCATCTACCAATTGAGAAAGAATTTGCACCGTTAATCGATTTAGTGACTCATTTTCCCAACCATGCTGGTACATGTTCACGAATACGCAAGGACATAGCCCTCTGAGTACGGCCTATGTAACTAGCTCCACAGGAGCAGTTGAAGTAATATACATATATGGAGGAGCCCATCATCGGCAACTTATCCTTGATTTGCTGTGTAAGCACTGGTCTGGTTGAGAGAAACATATGTAACTTGGTGGTGTGAAACGTCCTTTCAACAGATCATTCAAGTCGACGAGTTAAAATGTCACCTGCTATGTCCCCTTTAAAATCTGGTTTCGGATAAAATATCACAATAATTATGGACTGATAACTGTAGAACCTGATGATGAAATTATTGAAAACAGAAGGGGTTTTGTGGAGATTATAGAAATTTCACTGGTTGAAATCATGAGTCGATTGAAGCTAGACCACCATGGAAAACCTGGGAGCACTGGATGGCCGTTCCGTCATAGTATAGGAATAC